GTTTAGAGTAGCTATCACATCGTGTACCACTTGTGGTAATATTAGTAGAAATGGTGGTATACGTGGCCTGACGATCAAGTTTAACGTGTACCACCGGTGGTGTTAAAAGACATTTATATTAAATTCTGTTAATTATACAAGTAACACTAGAATTATATAAGTACACACAGGTCACCAGATGGATGCCGGATATATCCGGCGCTCGTACCGAAAGGGTTAATGTCTGTCAATGTTTCTGTCTTTTCTCTTCTCTAATCTCGATTCGTTCTTACAATCTCGTTCTTTTACAGTGTACGTACGAGTTCCGTCTGAAATCGAGCGCCGAGGCTAATGCGCATATTCAACGCACCAGTCCTGTCTCAACGACAGTGCAAACTTCGTCGGACATCCGAGGTCTCCGATTAGTCGCGTTTTACCCGATATCGCGCACCGACGTTTCCGTACACGTGGTGTCCATGCAGCCGGAACACTACCGCACGTTGAAGGTGAAACTCTGCCGGGAAGATACGCCCGATTCGCCGATACACCTGTCAAAGTTGGAGACTCAGCAACTGAGTAAGATCGGCAGCGCGTACAACGCTGGTTTCCTCATGCATTTGCCTCCGTTGCAGACAGACGGTAAAAAGTATTTCATGCAGTTGGAGTCCTCGTTGTCTCGCACGTTGCACAAGTATAAAACCATACCGTTCTATTTCGAGGCAAATTCATCGTTCAAGTACGTAAAATTGACGTTCAACGCGGAACGAAAGATCGACCACAGCGATATGAATCAAACGTCCATAGTCGCGTTACCTTTCATCATGTTTATCACGATCGGGTTTTTCAATCGGGAGAAACTGTGGCTATGGTTGAACACTTTGATCGAAAAGTGGTCGAAACCGGTGCCGATCTCGAGAACTCCGGTACAAGCTGTCCCTATCGATCCGAGAGCGGACGACATTATAGTCGAGCAAATAATGAACATCAACAAAAGGAAAACCAAACCACGTAAGACGTAATTGTTTCTTTCTTTCTTTTTTTTTTTTTTTTTTTTTTTTTTTTTTTTTTTTT